GTATACGCTTGTAAGGAAATATTGTGCCTCCTATGACCAATTTGTTGAATGCACATAGATTTGCAGATCTCTCTCCATTTTCGTTTCTCTCTCCCAATCCATGTCTTCCCATAATATCTTCATATCCGGTGTTGTCTATTCCGACTTTGGCATTTAGATCTCCCATCAAAATAGTTAGGTCGTTTCTTGGGCATTTCTCAATGACTGACTGCATCCGCTCGTAGAACTGATCTTTAATATCGTCGTTGCTATCATTTGTGGGTGCATAACATTGGATAATATTCATTAAGATCCTCTCCTTCTTTGTTTTGAATGATGCTTTGATGATTCTGGATCCGTGAGACTCTCATCCTACAAGTGCGTTTCGTGCTTTTTTGGATAGCATTAGAGCAAATCTCTGAGTGTGTGGAGCATTTTCCTTTTCGTGACCGGAGTACAGTAGCATCTCTCCCGTAGCTAGCTTTTTCTGTTCAGCTTGGGTCCAGTGGGTTTCGCTGATTCCCAGACCTTCTAACTCCCAGGGCAGAGTTAAAATTGTTTGAATTATTTTTTCTGGTAAGCGTTTTTTTAGCGAGTTAGTTTTCTACTGGATGGGGTCACTAACGCAATGCCCAATCCTCCTCCATTACCCGGGCTTGGGACCGGCAGTAACTCTAGAAGAGCTAAGGGCGGAGTTACTGTCACTCCAAGATCACTGTGAAATAGAACCTCATGCATTAGCCTTTTACTATTATGTGCTTATTTATCTTTGTATCCTCACTATGCGTGTAGAGTACCCAACTGCATCAGTTATCTTTAGGATCATCTGATCAGAACATCGAAAAGCGTTTGAAGTGCACCAGAAGGAGCAATCGGAATTTGTTCTTAATTTCTGCCTACGTCTTAACAAGGAATCTCTCGTCCACTTTAGAAGAGGTCTGTCAATTCTTAGATATTACAGCCTCAAAAATAGTCTCTTTTGATACATTATCAAATCCTTTAATGAAGTCTACATAGACAAAATCTGCCGGTTTTTAATTAGCTGAAGCTTCCGTCCATCGGCATCTTGCTAAAAAAGGGTTTTGCGCAAGATAATCTTTTTCTGAAACCATTTTGCTGGTTGTATTGCAAGCTTTTGGTAATTATTGACATTTTTGGTTATTCCTACAAGTATTTGAACTACGATACTGGTGAAGCCGACAGGTCAAGTTTAAGTTCATTTTGTAATGTTTATTTGAATATTCCTTTTGATGTTTATAACTGCAATTGACTAGTTTCTTATTGACAGTCTCTTATGATGACAGATTTCAACACCTAGGATCATTTTCATTGAGTCGCAAGAGAATAAGAGGTGATCTGGTAATGGGATACAACATATAAAGTACACCAAGCCACCCCAAATTAAGCACAGTAACAGAACATCATAACCACGCTTCTTGAACATCAAATGGAAAACAATAAACTACTCTCTCACATTGTTCATTACGAGTTGTTCCCATTCAACCGAAGTGATCACAACCCCATCAGCAGATAGCACCAAGAGAAGTACAGTAACCCACGTGCAATTGAGTTTATTCTCATATAGCTCAGTCAAGATCTTTTGTTAACCTATTTAATGGACAAAGTCATCCATGTTGTAATAACTTGTTGTATTTTTATTATTATTGCGCTTATATGAAATACGTATGCTTAAGCATTGTTTAACGCCTATGCATATATTCATTCTGCGAGCTTCATTATTAACTGCTTAATCTATTCGATGACTCATCCATTTCCCTATATATATGTACATTTACACTACTACAGCTACAATCGTAGTTCGCTTGCTCATTCGTTTTGCCTCTCTGCTGTGTGATCCGAATTATCTGTTAAATAAACCGTAGTAGCTGCTTCTTTTTACCTTCTGATTTCAAACACCGTTGAAGACAGTACGATAACGGTCCGAGGGTGATTAGTTATCGAAGCACAGCCAATACAGGAGAATCAACCAACACGGTTTCGCACATGGATTGAGATATCTTATTTGGACCACATATGAATGATGAACATCTCATAATTTTCCTGCAATCGAATTTTATCTTCGTTAGTTTTCTCACTGCAAGCAACTGACCTCTGCCTAGCAATGATATATATGAAGTCATCCGGAAACCATAATTCGCAGCGGCAAATACATTTACCGAAGCCACAAGATACAAAAATTAAAAAACAAATGCCAAGTTGAGTAAAATTAATTGAGTCTCGTTGCTAGACTACCACCCATTGAACATTATGGGATACCTGAATCTGTATAAAAAAACAAGAAATTAATCAGCTTTTACTAGCTTAAGAGAAAGGTATTAAATATATATTGGTGTTTGTCTGTAAAAATTGTCTACGGGAAATCGACTTTACATCCCATCAATTAGGTGTGGAAAGAAACATTTTGTTTGTTTCCATCACCTGACACTTGAAGCCGTTGCTACCGTAAAGTTACTTTTTTAAAATTCGAGGGTTAGCAAAGTATTTGTCTTCACTACTAGGGATAGAAGATCGAACGATCTCGATGAATCTTTGTAATTTTTGTATTCAATCTCGCTTTAAATGCATCATCAAAAGCATTTGTTATTGCATATTATGTTGGCGAATTCTCGTATTTCACTACTTGATGCGAGAAGTACTTTTACGTAAAACACAAAATGTAGATGATGTAATTTCGATCCTTGAATTTCCTCGGGATTTACCTTTGGGTGATAAGCTTTAAGTGGATGAAATGACGGAGTTAGTTATATTTAAATTATTTTCAAAAACTGATTTCGTAGATACAAATTTTTGTATCATTTTTAAAAAGATGAAAATCAACTACTATTTATGATGAACGTAGTTTTAGAATTGCTTTGAGCAGAAACAACAGAATGTTTCACTTGTCTACCATTTATTACATGTTAGTTACTCCATGTGATATATGATATAAATTGTTATAAATGCGCCGGTGCGTCTTAGACGTAGTTGCTCAAAGTTTTATTGAGTAAAATTTCATGTGTTTAGAGAATGATTTTGGTTTACGTGGCATAAAAAATTCAAGTCTTTTCTCATTAGCATTTCTGATGATGAATTATTTGAGCTTAATTCGTTTTCTGGATCACTTTGACGTTGATTTATTTAGTATTTTACAGAGTTGTAAACTGACCTGTTGTTATCGTTTTGTTTTTTAAATCAAATCAGATACTTTTAAAGTGGGAATGCGTTCTTTTATTTTGGTTTCTCCCTCTCCAAAGCTTTACCTTCCATGGTAAAGGAAGTGGAAAGGAAAGTCCACACGAACTGAAAGTGGTAAAAGCCTTTTGCCTAGGAAGAAATACTGGCATCAAAGATCTAAAGTACGATGAAGCGAATACGTTTATGCTATCGTGATTGATTAATCTATGTCACACAACGTTTCCAACTGCTGATTGGGTTTATTGCGTTGGCTCCAACCATGCAGCCTCCATTTTAGAAAATGCGTCAGACCAATGGCTGTTCACTTATGGACTGCGGTCACATTATGATGTGGCGAATATTTTAAGAAGGAACAATCCATCTGTTAAATAATCCAATAAGACATTAACAATATAGAATGTACAAAACGTCATTAATTTGGCTTCACAATAATAAATAGGTTTTTCTACCACGTGTTAACTTAATAACAACATTAAAATTACTTGATTTTAGTATTATCTTTAACATAAATGTGCTAATCACAGGATGTTAAATATTTAAAATAATTGTGAAAGTGTAGAAATAAGAAATTATAAAAAATAAATAGTCAGACTTCACAAGTAAGAAATATGGTATCAAACATTTTTGAATGCCATGAATCAGGCTTATTCACGAGGATTTATTTGATTTGGTACTCATGTAAATGAAGGGATCTGGAAGAAGAGTCTACCTTGATTAAGACTCAACATAAATCTAAAGGTAATATTTTTATCATTTTAACGATAAGTATCGACTGGATGTTGCGATGATATGAGGTTATCTATAAACACAGTTATTGGATTTCCAGGTTTCATACTCGGTTTAACTATCTGAATAAAAATGGTTCACCTATTAGACACATCTTAGTTATTTAGTGATAAAAGAATGCATATAATATATTACCACAGTGACACTTCAACCATTTTTTAGATTTTAGTGCCTATTTTTGGACTACCTAAAAGTTTGCTGAATTTTTACTCATTGTTATAGCTATGTTGTTTTCAATACGTAACAACATGATTCCCAAGAAAAAATACGTGACTATTTAAGTATCCCTGTTAGATTATTCATAAAGAATGAAATAGCCATAAAACGAGTATGTATCTCTAAAAATGGAATTCCTCCTACACTTTTAAACTTTTGTAATTATAAGGCATTACAAGCATAATTGATTGTATTGTTCTGTAACTGAGAAAAGCACCAAAGACAATATCTTACACTGCAGTATCGTATACATTATCTGTCACGTAAATACACGAATCATGGTCGTATAAACCTTATTTTACAAATTTAGGGGTAAATTAATTTTATCTTTCCCAAAAGACAATCCATGTTTGTCAGCTTTCTTTTTTGGTCTTCATTTCTGCCATACGGAATGTTCCTGGAATTGTTAAGAAGTCAGGCTTGCTGACCACTCCATTTTTTTTACATTCATTAACACAGAGGGTTAGCATTCTTTTAAGTTTTGTGTTACCCTTACATTTATCACAGTCCCTACTAAAACGCTTGGTTCACGTTTAGAAAGACCCTTTCTCCAATCTTTTATCTCTGTATATAGTCTTCAGCGTCTTTTATTTCTCCTCAGAGTTTTTCCAGAGTTTGTCAAAAGCCTTAGTTACCCATTTTATCGAATAGACTATTTTTAATGATAACTTTATTTGATATCATCATTACTATTAAGAATAACATATTTTGTTGATAGAGGCAATATTTACTACAAAAATAGTTTCAAATAAGTTAACTTACATGATTTTTGAAAGCAATGTTTCGACATCACACGTAATAAAAAAACCCAATCTTTGTTTTTAGAATAAAACAACAAATACTCATGCAATTTATTTCATTTTTTCCTCTCAACTTAAATCATTCTGCTTGGGGTTTAACAGACGTTTTTACTATTCCCATTATTCAGTTGGTGTCGTTCAGTAAATTAATCTTTACAAGTGCTTGTTTAAATAATGCATAGAGGTAAGTTATTTCATTTTTTAAAAATACCTTCATGATACCGAAGAATTTTTATATATTCAACCAATTGAAAGTGTGAATTGGTTATTACATACACTTTATACCCAATCAGCGTTTTCCAAATGTACAGATATCATTAAAAACTGTACTAATGGGCAATTTACGTTGAATGATGATTACCATTTGTATTGTTTAAGTTTAATAAATCGGCTTGGTGGGTGTATACAGCAATCCTTAGACAGTTTATTCAAATGTTTGGAGCATAACAATAAGTCAGTTGATATAATGAAGCAAATCGCAAAGTCATTGTAAGTGTCACTGTTGTTGCTATTATTGTTCATATAGATATTTTCGAATGAATAAAATGTGCCTTTTTGTATATAAAACAGGATTGCGATTCTCAATTTACCAAATTTTACTGATTAAGAACATTGGATAAGTGACTCAAATTTTATTGGAAAAAAGACAAACTATTGGTACAAAGTGTAAATTTTATGAAACTAGACACATTTTATCAGTCATTCAGTCATATGCAAAGTAGAACCTGATAAATATGTGCAGAAAAGTGAATAGTTACTAAGACTCATATCAAAGAAGTAGAAGTATTGGTGATAGTAAAAAATAAGATTTGACAATACTGAATTCATGAAATAATTGTAAATTTCATCGATACCTCTGTGCCATTGCGACCGATTATGACCTATGTCACCCAGCATATCTAACTATTGATTATGGCGACTAGGTTGTGTGCGCCTATCCACACAGCTTAACCCAGTATCTAGTGACTATATGGGTTGGTAACACGTCTTGGTATCGATGCTTTTGGCTTCCTACCAAATTACACCAGAAAACATTGCACATTTAAATGGGTACCCATTGGGGATCATGATACACATCTCAACCGCCCTAGTTGATCAGGACTCAAACTCACCAAGTGATTTACTAGATCTACCTAGTACCCCCGTACCTCATTTCAAATTTATGAGGGTGATTTTCTGTACAACTGAAGAGTAATCTTTATCACAAATCAAAATAAGTTGAAAAACAAGTTAAAATTATTTCGAATTAAAATAACTATTTTATTGTTTTAACATTTTTTATCAGTAATTACCCCACTCTCAGCCGTACACAGCGTTAAACTCATGACTTTCAGATCTCCTGGGTAGTCTAAAATAAATTAGCCAAATTTGATAAGTAACATATTTAACTGTGGTCAAGTTACAGTACAACTATAAGCGATTTAGCGTTTAGTACAACAGTACACCTTGGCCATGCTGCTACAGAAGCCGATTTTGAGCAAAATGATTTCGAGTCCTGTCACTGAGATGGTGGAGAAGATTTGTAGCTCAGGTGCATGATTTTGGTGGAGTTTTGTTCTCTGAGCTGGATAACAAAACCCCACCAAAGTCCTGTCACTGCTGTGTGCTTTGTTTTCAGTTTGTTAGTTACCCAAACCACTAGAGAATATTTCTTCAAATACTTATTGAAGATCTTGTCTATCTAGCAAATGTGACTACAGATCCAAAGAGACAGGTAATTAAGTTTGGCTCTGGATGACCATATTGATAGTAGTATTAAATCTATTACCTTCGTACTCCAAAAACATTACTTATCAGCATCAGAACTCTAAAGATCAAGGTGAGATGCGATTTTTTGAGCTGATCTTTTATAACCCCTCCTTTCATTGTGTTGAAACAGAATAGCTTCACATGCTGGTAGTTCGAGGGCAACACTTTAATATCATCGCACCACAGTAGTGTAAGACAGTACGTTGCAGACATTATAGCTCTATTGAGTTATCATGATAAGCAGACGCAACTGTTAAGTCAAGTTAGCAGTTGTAGTCGACTTCCTAATACAGAATTATTGTCATGCAGTACGATCAATAATCTACCTCCTCACACTGATGGGGTTATCTTCATACGCCACAACATTTCAGTAATGAAAAAATCTTAAAAGACTATAAATCTTCATAAAACAACCTTAATTAACCATTACCGTGTGTAGTAACTAATGATCAATTTCTATATGGGTTTCTGAGAATTCTTGCTGCATAGTAACCAGTGTGGTAATATCTGATTTTTATTTATGACTTCTCTAGGTTTCTTTTATATTCATCATTCTGATTAAGTAACTATACGGTAGTTCATAATATTCGGTATTGAGTAGCTTAGGCTATTCCTCACACACATGTGTACAAATACATTATTTATTCATCGACATGATTAAGATTGATCAAACTCTATCCGATTTCAAAAAGAGCAGATCGAATCAATGCATTTTATTTCGTTTGATTCTTGTCAACTATTTACAACCTGTAATATTTGAAAATCATGATAAGGAAACTGGTCAAAATTATTTACGTAATTCAACACACAACAGTATAGTACAGAAAGGATGTAAATACATTTAAGAGATTAAATATTGTATTTGCAAATATATCTTTTATAAAAGAACACTGTACAGCATCAATTGTAATAAAAATTCAATGAGCTGGAAATAAGTTGTTACGTAATGAATGAATACTAAAGATAAATAAGAATGAAGTTAGTAAATTCCAGCCAGTTAAAATAAAATAACTGATTTAGAAGAATGGCAGAATAAGACAATGTGATCAATTATAAGAAAAAGTTAAACGAACTTTTATGATATAATGAAGATAGTATGTGTATCAGGCCAAAAAAGTCCTTTTGGACACAAATCAGGACCCTGACGCCTAATATAAATAGTTTCAGAAGATTTTGGAAGACTAGAGCATGAGTGTTTGTTAATCACCTTGAAAGACCTCAAAGTATGGACGTAATGTCATATATTCAAGAGATGTCCAGGAATTTCTCCATGCAAAGTACTAATTCCTCATAAACAAGATATTTTTGGAATATGTTAAAAAAAATCCAAGATAAATCCTTTTACCCAGACCAACTTAACCGCTTTAGAATATATACGTAAAATTATAAGCATACGTGGTGGTGATGTGAAAGGGGAACTTTTTGATTTTTGACTTTGTAAACATCTTGTTTTAATCTGGACTAATATTTTTGCAGCAGCTTAGGTTCTGGTTAATGTAGTTTTTAATCTTCCACTGACTGTCTTCTCAACATTATCACTCCTAAGAATAAGATAGCTAAATATTGGTTTTTAGTTTTTCAATAATTGTCGATATTTTCCCAAAGTGAAGAGATGTCTCTCAGAATCCTTTCGACGTCTGTCAACTTTTGTAGTTTGTCAATGGTATATGTCCTTTCTGCTCTTTAAAATGATATGTTGACCGATGCTTTGTTATAACTGAATAAGCAGAAGCTATCAAAATTCAAACATGAAATATTTCAAGTACTCTTCGAACAAACCGATTATTTACTCTATTGTATCTAAGCATCACTTTGAACATAAATATTGCCTAATCATTAAAACATGTGTCATGTGTACGTTTGTTTCTCTACAGGTATTTACAAGGTCATCATAATGAAGCATTGGAAATTTATCAAGATGCTTTAAAACTTAATCAAAATGATTGGGTAATAATCTATTAATTCCATCTTCTTACATTTTTGTCAGGAAATACCATTTGGACAAGGTATATGTTATTTCTACATGAAAAAATTTGAATTGGTTTGTGTGTAGTAATGAATTATCCTAATCCATTCAATGTATTTCTTTGTTTATTTAGGCTGAAAAGTATTTTAAAAAATCTAGTAAACTTACCAAAAGCATTAAACCATTGAAATGGTTAGCAAAAGTTCATTTAGAAAAGAGCTCAATAAATTCTGCTATTGCAACACTGAAGAAAGCAACCTCGTACGTTGAATCTATCTGTCCCTCATATATATATATATATATATATATATATATATATATATATATATATATATATATATATATATATATATATATATATATATATATATATTAAATTATACCCATAAAACGTTTTATCAAATAATATTAAATAATTTCAACAATCAGCTAGAAATTGTAGTTTAGTCATCTTCTGGGAAACAGTGCCAATGAATTCACTTGGTATTGCTTACTTCAATCTTCACATTGATGTTTAGGACTGCAGTTGATTAGTCTCTTATTGGCATATGTGCATACTGTCTCGATATTGCCTTGATTTTCAAGCATTATATACAAGAATGGGTAGTGGCTAGCAGTGTAATACAGGACGCGCGTTCCGTCCTACTTAGGACTCATCAGCTGAATGTACCTGTACCTGGGAGAGAACAAACCAGATCCCAGCGGGCGAAGAAATCAGGAAGACGCGCTGGAAGTGGGTAGGACACACATTGAGGAAGACACCCAACTGCGTCACAAGACAAGCCCTCACATGGAATCCTCCAGGCCAAAGGAAAAGAGGAAGATCAAAGAACACATTACACCGAGAAATGGGGACAGACATGAAAAAAGTGAAAAAAAGTTCGATAGAACTGAGAAGGAATGCCCAGGACAGAGTGGGTTGGAGAATGCTGGTCGGCGGCCTATGCTCCATTAGGAGTAACTGGCGTAAGTAAGTAAGTAAGCCGACTATATGCAGCGTGGAAGCTGGAATTTATGTATGAATCGGTTCAATTTGTCTCATTATATTAGTGTAGGTAATTGGAATTATCATAACAAATGCCGGAATAGTAGCAGTAGTAACAGTATTAGTGGTTGTAATGAAATTCAGCTTAGTAAATATGGCTCGAGAAGAAAATGTTAATTGGCGAAAAAAACTCATAAGACAGCTTTGAAATTCAGCTTCTACGAAAAAACAATCAGTGAATGCATCTACGCGATTGCAATTTGTTTTAAGTCGATTTGCAAAACGTCTCCAAAGATAGGTCATGGTAATTGCATGAACCCTAACCAGGTAGTCCGCATCTACTAACGTGGTTCAAACTAACGATCGATAGCCCTATAAACTGATACTATGTCTTGTTTTGGCCGTTTCCAACTTTATTCTAATCTACTAAAACAATAGGTGCCATCAGTCGTCAATTTAGGTGGAGGTTAGACATATGCAAGTCCGTCTGGAGCCTTCATAGGGTTACTACCGGTCCTAAGTCCAGTTATAGGAGGAATTTTGGGCATGGGGTTAACAAACCCATTCCATGGAAAAGCTACATTAAGAAATACTAGGCATAGGTTATAGAAATCTCAAATACATCAATTAATAAAGATTCACAACTCCGTTAACGGGTTTACCATCTATGCCTAGAACCCCGGGTCTAACCTCAGCATTGCTCATTCAGTGTACGCAAAATACAAATGAAGTGTTTCAAAGAGGTTTGTGTCCAAACACTAGTAAATTACCAGTATTTTCTAGTTTCAGAGGCTATGTTTCACAGTTACAGTGTTTTTTCCAGTTAATGAAGACTTATCTAATTTGTCATAATGTTTGAATATTGAGAGCTAGAACGTGAATAAGAGTCGTCCGATTGTTATAAGAGCAGTTGTCGCTTCCAATTTCCCACTCCATGGAATAATATTGCTTCTTGAGAGAAATCCGAAGATAATTGGGTGTGGAATAGTCATGAAGACCTGGAAGTGTGACAGCAGTTTCCAAGTGACAACTGTTTGGTGTCATTCACATAGGACCTTTCTGCAACTAGTCTTTGATGTTTTAGCTCTTGACTTTCAAGGCCTTATTGCTAGAGACGGAAATCTATAGAGTAAGGTTATATGTGACATCTTTTGAGCCGAGTACTTTTAACCTCTCCCTTACTTTATGGCGAGGTAACATCACTGAAGATGCTGGTTATCTGAGCGAAACAACTTACTATCATCACAGTTTTGTTCATTTAATAGTATTACTTCATCCTTAGAATTTAATTTGCCGTTTTTAGTCTTACCGTTCTTAAAGAAATTCACCTGGCATGGAAGAACCTAAAGGAATAACTGTTTCAGCCAGCATATCTTTTGTGGGTCATCACGATAAGGAAATTTAACCAGAGAGTCAAGTTAGTAGCTATGATAGCAGAAGTCATAAACTAAGACAGTACGAACAACTGCCTAGTATACTTATATTTTGATTGGTAGACTGATATCTTGACTTCACTACAAGTAATGGAAGTTAACAAAAACCGAAGGAGCTTCCTGAATCTATTCCAATACAGAACTGATAAGAATAGCAATATAACCACAGCGGTCAATTCAACAACTTCATTATTTATCATTAAGGTTCAGTCATTGAATCAGACGATTTTTGAAGAAACATTTTGTATTTATTTTTTCTGAGAATGAAACTCTTTCGGCACTTTTTCTACAATATAAAATGCAAACTTATATCTTTTTTTGTTGTTGATAAAACAGACTAGTACCAGAAGATCCGGATATCTTATCTAATTTGGGTTCATTATATTTCCAAATCAATCAAGAACAATTAGCATTTGAATGTTTAAGCTCAGCAATTATTTTAAAACCGGATCATTTTGATGCAAATCAATTAGCTGGTTTAGTTATTACATTGCATAAAGATTATGATGTGGCATTGAATAAATATCGATCAATATTAAAACAATCTTCTGAAAGTCCAATATTATGGAATAATATTGGCGTAGCACTAATGGGTAAAAGAAACCTAATAGCTGTAAGTCATTAAAATGTTCTGTGACATATATATGCTGGGACGAAATGATCGTTCAATGCTTCCGGGTTTTCTATAGTGATCTGTCTAAAATTAGTTTGTGGTTTAAACCATGAGAATTCCACGATTCCCACAGACTCCCTTCACTTATAATAATCATATGCTCACAAGTGACTGGGTTCAAGATGCTACTTTTGAGGCTATAGTGGAAAGCCGTGACTTGTAAAGCTTAATCGTGCTGAGTATGAGGAAGGCACCCACCGAAGACAATCGAAGATAATCGCACAATATCGCAGATTGATCAAAGTCAGACTTGTACACCTTTGGATATATATATTATGGGGATGAGGATATCGATTGTTTTGAGGGTAGTTTTTTTTACCACAGAGCACTGGTTTGCTGTTGTTCCGTAGTGTAATATCAGATAGTTGCTTTAAAAAACAAACGCAAACTATTCAGGCACCTTGAGGAGCGAGTAAACTTTAGACCACTGAGTCGGTATCCCATGGTTCATATTTCTTATGAAAATTACTCTCCATTATTCAACAGTCACGTAATAAGTAAACGACTTCTAAACATAACAAGGTGAACAATAAAACGTTACAGATAACTTCAGCCATAATACTATTCATTAAATGAATCAGCTTATTTGACTCAATTTTACTGAATCACGCAGATAGTGTCAATCAATACAGTTCTCCATATTAACTCCTTTCAAAATATCAGTCCAAAAATATTAAAATCATGTTTGACTAATTTAAGAATAATTTGACTAATGAGATTCAACCGGTTCATCGTATATCACAGTCATTTATATATATGTAAATTAACTCTCTAGAGATTCGGGAGTGGATGAAGTACGAACAATTGGAAAATGTAGAACACTGAAGGCAATTCTCTGGAGTGATTTAATGTATTTATTTATTAAACAAATGATTTACGAGTAAAGCTGGAAAGTGGCTAGCAGCGGAATCCAGGACGCGTATTTCGTTCTATTTGGGACTCATCAGCTGGATGTACCTGCATCTCAAAGTTGATATTCACTCTGGTACTCGAACCCAGTACCCTTTGCTTCAAATGCCATCGCGTTATCCACTTAGCTACTGAGTCCTGACAGCCGCCTGATTGTGCGATGAGGTGAAGTTATGTTCAGTTGGTGTTGTTTACTTGTATCTTCCCATTGTTATTTAGTACTACAATTGATCAGTCTCTTGTTAGCATATGTGCATCCTGTGTGGACTGCCTCGATATTGCCTGAAGTCACAAGCTTTATAAGCAAAGATCTTTGCTTAATGGGAAAATACAAGTAAACTACACCAAGTGAGTTGAATTATAAAACTTCCCGTTTATGAATTACAACAAATTTAATTATAACTCTGTTAATGCTCATCTTGATATCATAAATATCCGAGATTTATTAGTCTCTTGTATTAGGATACTATAAAATCCTTGTGTCATATCTTATTGGGATTCTGATTGTGTTCCAGTGAATTAAAACCTCTGACTGGTTACGCTTAATTTTTGCCCATTATATCATTTTAACTTTAAAAATAACTCATTTCTAACTTTCTTTCCTCTATTTTGACAATTACTTTTTACTTTCAAAATTAACAGTCTATTACTTGTTTTAAACGTGCCACTTACTTAACACCATTGGATTGGAGAATATCAATTAATCTGGGCATAATTTATATGCATACATCACAATGGTTAAGTGCATTTCAATATATCACTACATCAATTAATCTGTTTAATATCATTAAACAAAGATCAATCCATCGTTCTGCTATAAATGATGATAATAATGATAAAAATAATCATAAAATTACTCATGATGTTGGCATGTTATATTGTCTTTTGGGTTATTGTTTAATTAAATTAAATGAATATTCCAAAGCTTATGAAGCTTTTATGAATGCATATAAACAAAGCAAGTGAGTCTAATGAATATATCTGTCTCATTTATATTTAGTAACTAGAGGTAGTCAATTGAGAACCTTAGATAAAGGTATCGTGTTAGTTGATACTTGTCAGTAAAATGAACTTGCACTATTTACAGAAGTGATGAGGGTCTAATTGGAAACAATGCAATTCAGTTATGTATGCTATTCTAACTTACATTTTACACTATCATTTTCACTCTATGATGGTAACAGTTTTTTGTTTGTTTTATTTTCATATTGAATATTCTCAACTCTTAACTGCTTGTTTTATATGACATAAGATAAGCTTGATTTACCCTTAGAGTTCACTCGAGATTCCAACATTGGTTATCTCGGTTCCTATGTAGTGAACGAGAACACGGGTGGGGGACAACAATTTCAGTCTATTTCAACAATATCTGAATACCATATATTAAATCGTCAATTTGCAAAATATTCATGTATCAAATCAAACCAGACTGTTTCTGTGGCAAACACCAATCCATTGTCTGCCATTCCATTGTTCATAGGTTTTCTTACAGATTCCATTATGTTCTCGCTCTACCTTTCTTGGTCTTCGTCATCTACTGCCAGACCTTACGCTCTTTTGACGCGCGTTATATACTACTTATATCAATATAAGTAGCTCACACCACACCTATACTATGATATTTACCAAGTGGTGTATCAAAATGAATATTTTTATAAGGATAATATTTATTGAAATTGAAATTTTCTATTATTTAAACTATAGTGATTTATTTATTTTAATTATTTATATTTTAGTAAAAATCCTTTAGTGATTTTGAATTGTGCAAATTTTCTTTTTAAATCAAACAAAAAATTGGCCAATCAAATGTTTGCAAAATATAAAAAACTTAATTTAACCAATGAATTTGAATTACCATATTGGGTGAATAAAAATGATGTAAGTTAATAGTAAATAATAGTTGTCATTAGAGACTTGGAATTTGTTTTTCTAGAATAAGACACTTAGTTTTGTAAAAGTGAGTTAACGATATATTAAACTAATCAGAAATCGATAAAATGATAAGTGCACGTGATCAATTAGAAAATGATTTTCGTTTTCAAGGTATGTAAAATACATCATTGGTGGCTAAATTTTCTAAGTGATATATATAACTCCACCTGTAGCTCTTCTACGGCTACTGCCCATTCCAAGCCCGGATAATGGAGGAAGGTTAGGCGTGGCATCTGCAACCTCATCTTTCAATCTTAGTGACACTTTACGTTTGATCCGTTTTAGGAGTTTCAGATGTATGATTATTCCCTACTTCAATCAAAACTGTTCTGCATAAAGCTCACAGTCAGAACTGCTCATATTGCATATTTTATCGAGATAACTTACAGATAATTTATCTCCAACGTAAATTATGTGTACATATAATGACTTTCGTATGAGACAATGTCTATTTCATTTGTTACTTTCCCTCTCCTAAATATAACCAATGTAAATAACCGGTTACCCTGTTCAACATAACTATTAGATACATCTATATTCGTCTGATATACACCACCACACTCAGTGGTAGCGTTCAAATATTTGAAATTTAGCACGAGTTATATACTTCGAAGAAGGCAAAACTGGCATTAGAATATCTAAAACAACATACTAAAATATTATTTTGCAAATGTCTCATATAAAAGCTTTATTCATGATACGTTGACATTAATAATATTTCCATAACTTGAGTCTGATGTATTTATATACAAAATACCGTTCAATATAAATATCTAAGTATTCATGGAATACACACATCATACTACTTATATTCACTACTTATACTACTATTTGCATTCAAATGGTCTTGATTATTCTCTGTTCCCTTATTTTTATGAAATTAATTTTGCATAGGTATTCTGTGTCTATTACAAGCCCTATTTTCTGTGACATCTGTCGTTCTCACTTTTCAACTTGGAAATGATAACTCTCGCTTTCACCTTGAGTCATATTAATTATCTTAACCGATTTACTTCTCGTCATTTTTAATCTGTCTTATAACTCGCTGCTTCTTGATTCCTCCGGATCACCTAGATGCTCATAAAATTTTCTAGTAGTCATATAGTCTCTTTTGTTCTGACTCATTTTGGTTTGTGTTGTTCACTTTGTTAGTTATCTAACGTTGTTGAAATCACTAGATCACTTTGGTTCACACATATTTAACGATTCTCGAATAAAACGCTTTGTGATTGAAAGTTATTGATTTCTTACACTTACTGGTTGTGTATTTATTGTATCGCATTCTATAACTTCTAGAATGGATCAGAACTTCTGCTAGGTCCTGAGTTCTAGTATTGAATCATACAATTTGTTTACTTATTTATTTAATCATATAAACATTGGTGCGAGAAGGCACCAAATAAAGATGCACCACAAAAATTATTCGGCTTGTGTGAGGTCTGTGATACTACCCGGATGCCCAAACCGAGGTAGGTGGTTTTCCTACGGGGCCACACCCGGAGTCTTTGACCAAATGGTCTAATCCAGAAGACAGTGGAGAAACGTCAGGAGATGCAGTCCCATGGTAGCCGTTGACTAACAATAGGTTCATACACCATTAATTCCCCTAGGATCCTGCAGCCCATGTCCACCATTTGTTTGAAATCAGGGTTTTCCAACTCTTCTAGGTGGATCCTCTATATTCTCTGGTCCGGTTAAAGCGCGAGACATCCACTTTTCGTTCTCTCGACTGTGTAAACAATACCCTCCCCACGAAAAGACTTTGAGTAGGATTTCCCTGCAAGTGGCCGTGCACTCATGTCAATGTGATAGTATTTCGCGCACGCGAGAGAGGGTGAAATCTTCCCACTTTCGGCCGTACCAGGGCATTTGGGGGTCAAATCTTTATATGATTCATTCTTTTTAAACATTATTCTCTACCAATCTTCTTTAACATAATTGTATTAATACTATTTCAACCTGTTTATTATTTATCTTGTTAATTCCACTTCTTACCATACTAATTCAAAATGGCAAAGTAAATTATTGCAGAATAATATCAGACTGTACATGGAACATTATGAATGAGTGAGTTTGTGCAAGCATTCTTACATACCCACGCACACTGCCAAATTTGACTTGTAACTTCTGCCTTTTCGGATTTTTTTCGTTGCGAGATAGCATACCAAATGATTGTCTGGTACGTTCAAAGTCTGTTCAACAGGATCATCAAAGCATCCTTCAAAACAATGGAGAGAATTACAATGAATGTTACCCAATGTTATGCACCCACCAATGATAGCAATGATGACGATAAAAATCAGTTCTATGAGAGGTTGCAATCGATCATAGAGAAGTGCAAACGGACGGACCTGATATAGCTTCAGATCACCACCTGGTGTTTGACAAGAGGAAACAGAAGCTAAAGAAGAAATGGACAAATAAGAAAACATTATTACAAATCTAATACAGACTTCATTCGAGATACTGACAAACTCAACGAATTCAAGATAGTCCTCAACAATAGGTTTTAAGCTCCCTTCCACATCTACTGAACGAAGAAGAAACTACTATGGAGGACAATTGAGAAGGAACCAAAGAAGGATACCTCATCAATATACCAAAGCGACAAGATCTGGGCATGTGCGTGAACTACAGAAACATCGCACTACTATCAGTACCAGAAAATGTTTTCAACATTGTTGCTTAGCCGGATGAAAGCACTCAGTAGACGCACAACTTCGAGATCAACAGGCTGAATTACGTAAGGATTGAACGTGCACAGACCAAATCGTGACACTACGGATCATTGTTGAGCAGTTAATTGAATGGAACTCGTCACTATACATCAAATCCCTTGATTATGAGAAGGCATCTGACAGTGTGGATAGCAGAACATTATGGAAATTTCTTCCACACTCTGGTGTACCAGAGAAGATTGTCAACATTATCTGGAACTCATACGACGGACTACAATGAACAGTCGTGCATAGAGGACAGCTGACAGATGCATTCTAAGTAGGGATTTGAGTCAGAAAAGGCTGTCTACTCCCTCACTTCCTCTTTATTCTGGTGATTGACTGAATTTTGAAGATTTCGACATCTGAGGGAAAGCACGGATTACAATGGACAGTGTGGATATAACCAAACGATTTGGACTTCGCCGATGACCTGAACCTTCTATCCCATACACATCAACAAATGCAAGTCAAGATAAACGATGTAGCAGAATTAGGCCTCAACATACAATAGGGGGAAATCAAGATCCTCAAATACAACACGGATAACAACCCAATGACACTTGATAAAGAAACTCTGGAGGAGTTGGAAAGTTTCACATATCTGGGTAACATCATCGATGAACGTGGAGGATATAGTGCAGACGTAAAGGCGAGGATTGATAAAGCAAGGACAGCATTCTTACAGTTGAAGACTATGTGGAACGGAAAATTACTTTCAACCAACATCGAAGTGAGAATCTTCAGTACGAACTTCAAGACCGTTCTACTGTATGGAGCTGAAACTTAAACAAGTACCACAACCATCATTAAAAAGTTACAAGTATTTATAAACAGTTGTATAAACAGGATACTGAATGCCCGTTGGCCGGATAGCATCAGGAACAGCCTACTGTGGAAGAAAACAAATCATTTTCTAGCTGAGGAAAAAATTAAGAAAAGACGTTGGAAGTGGATAGGACACACATTATGGAAATCATCAAACTGCATCACGAGGAAAGCGCAAACTTACAATGCTGAAGTGAAACGCAAAAGAGGAAGGCCAAAAAGCACACTGCGTCGGGAATAGGAAGCAGATATACGAAGGATGAATAGCAACTGGAAACACGTGTTTATAGATTGGATGGTGAATGCTGGTGGGCGGTCTATGCTCCTCCACGTGGCTTAACAGGAGTAAGTATATATGGACATATCTATTTCTTCAGTCAAAAAATTTCCTTTCTCTCTCGGTCTTTACGCTTGAGTAGCCGGTTGGCTTCGTTTATAGGAAAATTGTATATCAATGTCAAACCTCAAACACTGAAAAATATAACAATCATCATTAATTTAGATCAAATATTCCACATTTTTATTTATTGCTAACTCTTAGAACATGATGTACTTTTATAATCATCATTAGCTATCACTAAGTAACTTTAGTTATAAATACCATCACATTCATATGAAACCAAATCCCTCCAAATGACTACTGATGGGTTTATTGTCCAGTAAAGTAATTTATAAACTATTTAAAAATGTATTAACACTTTTTTATGATGAAAACAATATCGTTTTAGCTCTACAACCAAATCATTCAGCTCAGAGAACAAAACTTCATTAAAATCATCTACCCAAGATACAAATCTTTTCCATCATCTATAATTTTAGCTTTTTACATTATAAAAAGTCTTTATCATTTATTTGTATTATAATTATTGTTTTAGGTAGATAAATTAGTCAATCGATTGGATACATATTTTAGACAAAATACTACAGAATCAACTGATTCTATGCAAATTTCAATATAGAGTTCAATGAATATCTGTATGTGAGTATTTATTTTTCAAAAAGTTCTTATTATGGTTATCAACTTTTAATTGCAAAATATAAAGTACAATCGTTGAAATGCAAATGTTTACTTTCTCATCCTTTCCATCTAAAAAAAAATTCTTTATTAATGATTAGTTTTAGAAATTTTCTAGTGTTCGTTGTGAGGTTGTTTTTTTTTTGTATTTTAATTTCTATAAACGTTAAGATCATTTCAATTGTCATGAGGATAGTGATGTGTTTCGATGAGAATAATGAATGGTAATTGCTGGAATCTATTTCTGGTCTAATACTATACGTACACTTTTATCGTATAATTATTAATTAACTAAACTATTCATATTTATGTATCTCTTATCATAAGTTTTATTTTAACCTATGAACTGTTATTATACGATTTTCCATTCTTGAATTATTCCCTGTCTATTAATCACTACCTCCTACATTCACAGCCACATTTGGCCAAATGTTGTACAAATGTTATTTTCTATTTCATGGTACGATGTGGTCTGCTTGATTGGTATATAAACAAAGTATGTTTGAAATACATGATTCATATTGCAGATGCTGAGACTGGTGTTCTGGACTTAACTGGCTGGGCTAGGCGGAAAGCAGGGTTAATCAAGACTCTAGACTGCTCGCACGTGTTTTACGCGTCATTGGTTCGATCGATAATTCACTGTTCTCTAATTGGAGGTATCATTACGTTATACGTTAACAGGGCACATGGGCCGCAAGTTATAACATGTTCCGACACGTCTCGTGTGTGAAGGGGTAGTTAATCTATTGGGTTTCGACGGCGAAATGCCTTTGATAAACATAAAGACAGTGAACAGGAATACTCTACACATATGACCAAAGTTAAATGTAAAGAAACTCAGTCCAAGTCAATTAAGCTCATACAATCAACTGATTAGGGGACAGTAACACTGACCTCACTTAAAAACAGTTTTAAAAAGTGGAAACAATTGGAAAATACATTTCCGTGGCTGCAAACTAACAAATGATAGTTGTTTAGTAGTATAAGCCATAGTGTTCCACATTGACTCTCACCTTCCAATCAATGTATCACTATATTTGCCTCTAAACATCTGTTTGGGGGGTCCATTCTCTGTCAGATATGTAGCATATGATAACACTAAGCCTATATCAAGAACTATGAGCAGCCTTGTTATTGGAAGAGCTATGATACTTAATAAGAACATGTTAAATGAAGATAATTGCAAATCCACTTTGGAATATGATATCCTACCGAGCATGTGGCTTCCAGATATATTGATTTAATGAAATTGGTTAAACTATGCTCAATTATGTGATTAGTTTGAATGCCTGTGCCATTTGTACTAACTAATGATTCTTTTGTGCCTACTTGCCCACTGATTGCGAATTCCAAATACAATACGTCCATTTGTACGCATCTAATTTTTTGCTTGGCTTAAATTGCACTACTTCGGGAACTACTAGTTAGTACAATAATTCAAATACTTCCAATCATAATGCACTGTACGTGATTCTCAATATTCTTTTGTCTGGTTGTTTGCCTATGTGTCTATATATTCATTAATCATGTTCGGTTACTACATTGATTTATGAATAATCGAGGTATGCTGAGACTCAGGCCAGTTTGTTTTCATCTCATTAAAATGCAGATCAGACTAGTAGAGTTTAATCCTTGATATATTTCACGACAATGATATTACCTGAAATTCTATTGTGTCAGTGTTATTTCTATTCTAATATAATTGCCATTGTCAATAATAAATACAATTCAAACACAAAGAGATCTGATTTTGGTGTTAACTCAATACTGCTACTTTTCCAGTCCATTTAATCTGCTTTAAATGCGAACAATTTAAACAATACTAAGAAATAAATCAACTCTGTTCTTCCCACCAGTGAGATTCAACGTGGAACCTGCTGATTGCCAAAAGATAAGATGGGGATATTAACATGATATATGCTATCTGTCATAGATCTCATTTTTTTAATAGGTTGCTAACGTTATTATTATCCTACACCACCTTAGGCTATATCAACAAAGAGGATGTCAACTAATACTCGTGACATTTTCTGTGATTTTAAGACGTCGACCGTAGACTGGAACAACGCACCACATGTAAAAGTTTTCAGAGCGTTTTTCTATAACACTCCATCTCTGACTTGGTAAACAGTGCATTCCCCACTCTTGAGTTTAGATCGATATCAATAAGTACATTAGGGTTAACAATTATGTCAAACTACTATTTACTGCTATACAAGCTATCTAATATGCACAAACATTGCGAACATTAATGTGCGACATCAAAATGTTTGACCAAGACTGAGGGATAAAGAAACCCGAAAAGACTCGATAACAAGTACTGTGTGAGCAAGAAACGGTGTTACAGCACTTTCAGCAGGTCTCATGTTGAAGCGGTATGAGCAGCCTAGCGTCCGTAATGGTCCTTTCCCCTCCTAGCCCTGCAAGCTGAGTCCAGAACACAAATAAGAGCTACTACGATGCGAATCATTCCAAACATACTCAGTTTATGTACCAGCCAAACAGACCGCATCACACCCAAAATGGGAAATAATGTTTACACAAGATCAAGCCAAAATGTGGTTATGAGCGTGGGAGACTGTGATCAATAAACTGAATATAATTTCAGAATAGTAAGTTGTATCATAATAATCTATAGATCAAAATAAGGCCTATAATAGGAGGAATATATGTCATATTAATCCATTATTAGTCAACAGAAGTTAACCCAAATTTTATCTTCACTAGGATATAGCAGTTTTGTTTGAGTATCTCCACACAAACATGATAGAGTTTGGTAAGTAAGACAAGAGGCACAATAAAGTGTGTGCCGGACTAAGCCCAGCCTCATATAGTGGTATTTCAATTCATAATTTCTTGAGTATGTGGTTCGTGCTGCTCCACAAGATCTTCGCTGGCGCTTTGGATTATTGAGCTACTGAAGGCATCTACAAAGCCACCTACAGGTAAACAGTAATCTATGGATAAAATGGAGTCACTTATGCCAACTGAGTACGTATTGGAAGTAATGAATAATCTAATCTCAAATTCAAGCGACACGAATAATGCAGGTCACAACAATATAGTCCACCATGGGCACACCACTGCTCATAGAGATTCAATTGAAAATATCAAACACACGAGAGAGATGTAATGCGGGGTCGAGTCGCGGTCGACGATGATCACCACTACAAGGAAGTGGCGATCCCGTGGTATCGAGAGAATACCAAGATCGTGCCAAAAGAGTACACGAGGAATAACTGAGAAGACGTAAGTGCGTGAAAGTTCACAATCAACGGAAGCTAGAATGTCTTTAGTACAGTTAAACAAACAAGTACAGTAAAACAATCACTAGTACAATTGGTTATAGTAATAATTGTTTCCATTAAACAAATCGCGTTCTCTAGATAAAAGCAGGTCACTTCGGAGAAAGCAAGCGCTATCTAAAAAGGACAGTGGTATTGTTTCTCGTTTAGTTAATTAACTGTTTTGATCGTAAATTACGCATCAAAACTACTGTTTACACTTTAATTATATCTACTCTAGTTAAAGTGATATTGTATTGAGTGTTTAGATCTTGTTTTTGTGTATTTATTGCATCTAAGCATACTTGATCGACTTTAACTTGATTTATTTAGTTAAGGTTGAAAATTCTTTTACATATCATATTTGTGTGACCATTGTAGTTGATTTTCAAGATGTCCAGCTCTGCTCATAAATGTGGACAACCATATTGCTTATTCCCCGTGGAGGAAGGGATGCAATGTGATGAGTGTAATAAGTGGTTCCATAAGATGTGCACCCGATTAAGCCCCACTGCATATAAAAGGTGCTCAAAGCCCAACTCTCATTGTTTTTGTTGATCGAGCAAAATATTGCTCATCCATGAATCAATTAGCCTCCTGATGTTGGCTAATAAGAAGGTTGATGAGGGTCGTACTGGTAACATTGGTACTGATGGCGAAGGTTGCGTTAGTGTCGTAAGTGCTGTCACGGCGCAAGTCAGACATCTACCTGTGCAACCCGCAGTTAAACGTTCTCCCCCGAAACGAACGGTGAGTGACACCTCATTAGACGTTGGTGGCCATATTGCTACAACTGCGACTAGTGATCAAGATAAGACACTTACTGTCCCGAGTTGTTATAATGTAGATGTTTCGACTGAGGAAAAGTGGATGACGTGAAAACGCAGAAGAGTAGGCAAGACAGTTAAAACTAATGACTGTTTACTTGACAAGTCCTTGGTGGACTCTCAGATCAATCCGCCAAAGTCCCAAAGTAAAGCCTCGTCTAACATTGTTGTGAGTCACTCGCTCGACTCCCAGGACTCTGTTACAATAAAAAGTAATCGTAAGTTACCAGTAGTTAACATACAGGATCTAACGTCACTGTCGGAAGCTGTTAACACAACTTCAAACTAAAGCTAAACCCCTTCCTAGTTTAATTATTTGGAATCTGGAGGAACCGAAAGACAACGACCGTGCTAGAAGACATGCACATGACCTGCAGTTAGTGGGGTCTGTGGTAAGGAATGTACTACTTGAAGAGGTTTCAGGGGTACATATTACAAAGGCAATACGACTTGATAAATGGGTTGGAGGCGAGACCCAACCAAGAAGAATCCTGAATCTGGTTCTCGGGAGCTTTGAAGAAAGAGACATACTATTGAAAATATACTAAAAACTCGTCACTCAAATATCTGTATTCGACCAGATTGGCCGCTTGAGAATTGAATCAAGTGGAAGAATGCTCTTACGGAGTTGAGAACTCGTAAATTAAATGGCGAAAATAACCTTACCATTAAGGGTTTTCGGGTAGTCAGGTCTTGGAAGCCAATGCTTCCGAGGCCTGTATGGGTAGAACGATTGATTGCCAAAACACCTTAAGTGTGTGCTACACGAACGCTTGTAGTCTTAGAAATAAAACGTCCGAGCTAATTCTGATGGTGGAAGAATTATGTCCCGATATAATCGTTGTTACAGAAACTTGGTTCATGGTAGATATAGACTGTTCTCCTTTCATTGCAGGCTATATCTGTATTATAGGTGATAGAGTTTCAAGTCGCAAAGAAGGAGGTATAATATTATACATTAGGGATCACTTTCGCATATAATCAACCATATCAGAGGCTCATATCAGTGGCACATGTGAGGTAGCATGTTGTAAGATTAAATCTAGAAATAGGTTAGTGACTATAGGGGGAATATACCGTAGTCCGTTTTGTCTTGCTGACAACTTTTCCTAAGGCACATCTGTCCTTGGAGTATGGCAGAATGTTGTCTCATCATTGGGGACTTCAAGGCACCGCATATCAAATGGATAGAGCTTACAGCTTCAAGCAGTGATTTCGATAGCGACCTTTTATCGACTGTTATTCAGTGTGCACTTGTAGATTGTATCACAAAACCCACGCATATTGATTTCAATCATGATCCGTCAATGCCGGACCTCGTCCTCACCCACCACTGTGAGGATTTCTTTGATATTCAGCATCTTCCCCCATTAGTGAACAGTGATCACGTTGTAATTCACTTTAGGTTTAGGACACATGG